GATTTGTGGGTACCAGAGGCAGAGTGTGGGAGGAGGAGGAATTGGAGGAAGGTGGCCAAAAGGTACGACTTCCAGTTATAAGAGAAAGGTAAGTACTAGGGATGGAAAGTGTAACATGATGAGGATAGCTAACACTGCTGTGTGATATATAGGAAAGTTGTTAACAGAGTAACTGCTAAGAGTTCTCACCACAAGGAAAAATGTTTTTCCTTTTTTTCTTCCCCCCCCCCCTTTTTATTGTACCTATATGAGAAGATGGATGTGAGCTGAACCTACTATGGTAATCATTTCACATCATGATGTACGCCTTAAATTTCTACAGTGATATATGTCAGTTATTTCTCAATAAAATTGGAAAAAGAAAAAGAAATGCATTGACAGCATCATCTCCCTAACTTGGCACTGATTTCTGCAAATATGGTCATTCACAGTCATCAACCCTAATGGAAGGAAGAAGAGTCTTGGCTGAGGCCAGATGATCCAGTGACCATTTACATTTAATATTGCTGTGTAATTGTGTGTCTGCCTCGGGATGCTAACATCACACTAAATCACCTTTCTTCCTATGGGACCTGGATGAGAATCTTGGAGAGTAAACTTTTTAGACGGCCATCGGTAGTGTTATTTAGTGATTATTGTTGCTTAATTAAGATTTGTTTCTCTGATCCCCTGTATACCTGAATGCCATTTCCAACTTGAGTTTCTACTTGAAACTTCTTGAAAGCTGAAAGAACTCTTACCAAGGAGTTGATCTAAACCTCAGACTTCAAAACAAAACACTTGAATTTTTTTTTTTTCTTTCTTGACTCATGTTTACAGACTTCTTCAGCAATGACATCTGGTTTATGGAGAAAAGATTTGAAACCAGCTGAGTGAGAGCATGTAGGTCTATTCCCAGGAAAGTGATGAGTTCCACGTATGGTTGGTGTATTAGTTGAACATCTTTGGTTGCAAATGAAAGGATATATGAGTACTTCAGGGAATCTAAGGGTTGGAATGCTTTTGGGCTTCTGGAAGCCTGTGAAACCAGAATGCAGTCAGAAAGCTCCAGATACCAGGAAGTACTTTGTCTTAATGTCTTTTTCTCTCCGTGTGTCCATTTCCTTTTTCTATCTCTTAGCTTACTAACTGCCTTTACTTCTCGGGCATATCCTAACATAATGACAGAATAAGGCTACCACTTAGTTCCCAAATTTATGTTATCATTCCTTGTACTTGAAAAGGCTACTGGACTGTCTCTTGTCCCATTCTAAATTCCAGGAGGAGCGGTGCCTGGGTGGCTCAGTCAGTTAAGCATCCAACTTCGGCCCAGGTCATAATCTCACAGTTCGTGAGTTCGAGCCCCGGATCAGGCTCTCTGCTGTCAGCTCTGAGCCTGCTTGGGATACTCTGTCTCTCTCTCTCTCTCTCTCTCTCTGTCCTTCCCCACCCCCTCAAAAATAAACTTAAAACTGATTGAAATTAAAAATAAATGAATGAATAGAGAAATCAATCAATCAGTCCTGGAGGAAACGATTGGGATTTAGATCAGATGTCCACCCTGACGTCTATAAACTACTAACAGAAGGTCACTTCCTACATACAAGGTTGCTGAGAGCCCAGGTTTAGAAACAGGGGATTGTTTGAGCCTCGTGGCCTGGAATTTCCTATTAAACAGGCCTGGAACTGTCCAGAGAGTCCCAGCCCAGGAAGATCAGATTAGACTCATGCTAAATTGTATGGTTTTTAAATTTTTATTTTATTTTATTTTATTCATTCATTCACTCATTCATTCATTCATTCACTCATTCATCGAGAGTTCCCAGCCCAGGAAAATCAAATTAGACTCATGCTAAAATTTTATGGGTTTTTAAATTTTATTTAATTTTATGTATGTATTTACATCACAAATGCATTGGTTTGACTCTTTTTGTAGTATTTACTCATGTCACTAATATGAATGACAGCTTACAGCTCTTTTCTCAATTCATTTAAAATGGAAACAGAAATGACTTTGAACAATCATCCCATGTTCACGTAAGTGTTTGTCTGAACCATTCAGGGGAGATATTCTGAATGATATTAAGCTCTTCTTAAAGAAGTCCAGGAAGAGAAATTACAACCATTCTTCAGTGACTTATTCAACTGTTTTTTTTTTTTAATCATGCTTTGACTTTGAAAACAGAGCTTTATAATTTTAAGAACCTAGAATTGAATTATTGACCCAGTATAGACCCACCTCAACTGAGCCAAATGCAGTGAAGGACTTTTCTATTCCTCAGCAACTTATGAAAATAAGACCCATAATACTGCAGCAACTTTTACATCTTGATGGTTGCCTTCTATTTTATACCACCAGTATCTTCTTACTTGCCTGTGTGACTATGATACAGTTTCTTAGGGCCTTCAAATAAAAGGTTGAAATTTCAGCTACTTAGTCTGAAAGAATAAATATCTCTCCCCTATTCTGAAAGGCTTTTCAAGAAGATTCTTCAGTTTTTCCTCCACTGCCCACTGCCACATACTGTGTATGGAAAAATGAGACTGAGGTGGAACCTTGAACTTGCTCTGATGTACAGTGGGTTATAACTAGTGGCTAAGCCAGGACCAAAATTCCTGCTTTCTGATTCCCTATCTGGTGCTCTTTTTGCACAGCCTTATGAGGAGAAAACAATCAGGTTAGAAATGTCCTGTGTCCTGTGCCTTGAATGCAGACAAGCTTTTCCTAATCCTTTTGGTGGCCACAGTCTTCATGGAAGGTCTGTTCCGTAAGAAAGCACAGGCCTCTGCACACTTTTGTATCTCTGCAATCTTAATTTGTAGCTCTTTTTTCTTTAATATCTTTTAGAATCCTTTCAGGTTATCTGTGTGAGAGGAAAGAAAACTTATTCATTTGCTCTTTCAATGAAAATATATTAACTGAGGGGTGCCTGGATGGCTCAGTCAGTTAAGTGTCCAACTTTGGCTCAGGTTATGATCTCATGGTTCGTGAGTTCGAGCCTTGCGTCAGGCTCTCTGCTGTCAGTGCAGAGCGCACTTTGGATCCTCGGTCTCCCTCTCTCTCTGCCCCTCCTCCACTTGCGCGCTCGCTCTCTCTCTCTCTCTCTCTCTCTCTCTCAAAAATAAGTGAACTTAAAAAATATGTGTATATATTATATATTTTATATATATATAAAGTGTATGCTTCATGCCAGGTCCTGTGCTTCTCACAGCATGCATAACTATTACTGGACTTGTATAGAAAATTCTATCAAATCCAACTTTAAAAATTCCAGGTGGTTACTTGCAAAATACAGCAGAAAAACCCAATCATGTTCATCCCCCCCCCCCCCCCCGCCATTCGATCACTGTACGAGGTTAGCCACATAGTGTCATTATCCCAATCATATCTCTTTGAGGAGGACACCGCATGTGTAACAGCGATAGCTTGCTAGCTTGCCAGTGTCAAGTGCCAGGCACTGTACTTGGTATTTTACATTCATTTTCCTATTTAAACCTCACAACAGCCCAGTGAAGCGTTTTGGTAATGCCTTTTTATAGATGAGTAAACTGAGGTTCAGACAAAAATAGTTAACATTTGCGTCTTTGCTGTGTGCCAGGGGCTATGTTAAGTACTTAAATGAATTATGCTTAATCCTCACAACAGCCCTAGAGGTTCAACTATAATTATTCCCATTTTAAAGATGAAAAACCTAAGATTCCAAAAGGTTAGGTATATTACTCAGGTCACACAAGTAGTGGTATAACTTAGTCAAGAGCAGTAATTATATACCTCGCTTCCCACTCCACAGCCAAGATTAGGATTTCTCTTGAATTTCAGTCTGGTATTCCTGCCTTCGGAAGTGGATCAGGAGTATGATCCCTCTCGAGGCCTATGTGTCAAGGCACTGGGTTTGCCTCCCATCTGTCCTGGTACACTGGCATCCCTGGAGTGCTCAGTATATTTTTGGCTATGTCCTATGGATGGCCCGATGCCTAGACATGCCCGGGAGAGCCTCACACAGAATCCGTTTTGACCCAAACATCATGAACCCACAACCATGTTCTCCTGTGTCTCCTATCATTAATAACTCCATGTGCAGTTAAGAAAGCTACCTGCAGGTTTAAATTTGAACCAGTGGCTTGCAGTTAAACCTCAAATTCAAGTGGGTTATATGTTTTTTATTTTGTTTTCAATCTAGGATAGAAAAAAAGGTCAGTTGTAGAGAACAGGGCATATGTGTGATACAGAGAAGGTATATTTGTAAATGGAAAGACGAACCATAAATACTGGGTTGACAATAACCTTTTCAATATATTGGCATTACCAGAGCTCTTGGGAAAATATTTATCGTACTTTCTTACTACTTGGCTTTTAAACTTTCCAGTAGTTCTCTGTCCAACCAGGAACCCTCCTCCATCCCTGTCTTTCCCATTTGTTTATTCAGCAAATATTTACTCAGTACCTGCCATGAGCTAGGCAGTCTAGATACAGCTGTGAATGAGACACATAAATAATTAATTATAACCGTGATAAATGCTACAAAGTATGAGGTATTATTAAATTATTAATAATAATGGAGGAGGGAGAAGAATTGTAAAGTCCGGGAAGGCTTTCTGGGGGAATTGATATTTAAGCTGAGCCCAAAGGATGAATAGGAGTTAGGCGGGTAGGACAGGGGAATGGAAGGAAGCATTCCAGGCATAGGGAACAGCCTGTAGGAAGACTATGAGGCAAGTAAGAGCCGGATTCATTCGAGGAGGTAAGCAGCAGTCAGACTCAGGAAAGTATAGGAAGAAAAGAGTCGCGTGTTGGAGAAGGAACTTTCTTTTTCTTTTTAAAAATTAATTGACTCAAGAATTGATACTTCTGGAATGACTGATTGTTGACCCATTGTTATTCCCATGGCATAAGAGATAAAGTGGCCATGGTTCAAGGGTGGTGCTGTGGGGAGGAGTAGAAGCCAGTAGCCAAGAGGGAGGCTGGGGGAGGTGGGGAGGGGTATGGGGTGACTCTGATTCTGAGGCTTCTGTCTCCACAGGCCTGAAGACCATTGTGGGTGCCCTAATCCAGTCAGTGAAGAAGCTGTCAGACGTGATGATTCTGACAGTGTTCTGCCTGAGCGTTTTTGCCTTGATTGGACTGCAGCTTTTCATGGGAAACCTGCGAAACAAGTGTGTTGTGTGGCCCATAAACTTCAATGAGAGCTATCTGGAAAATGGCACCAGAGGCTTTGATTGGGAAGAGTATATCAATAATAAAAGTAGGTGGCCCTTTTCCTGCAAGAAGTGAAAGACCAGTCTTTCTGTAGTTTATGTGGTTCAAAGCCATCGCTGGGCTTTAAAAGTAGTTGGGCTGGAAAGGAATCCAGTGCTACTGAAGCAACCTGAGGAAGTTATTCCCTTTCCTCGGGGTAGGACTGTGTTCAGAAACGCGCTCTGGTTTGTTTGTTTTTTTTTTTTTTCTCTCCTTTTAAAACTGAAAATGAAACTATAGCTTTTTTGCAGGCACCCCTAAACTTTTGCTTTGAAAATCAGGCTCACGAGTTTGATAAAAATACCATTTGCTGTAGTTCAGTGAAACCTCGGATATGTAAACATTTAGTTCAGAACATGCGAAGTAAGCTCTCTTAATATTACTAAGACTGTCATAGTTGGTCTGGTGTGGGGAGTCAGGTAATCTGTAAGTAACCATTTGAGCCTATTGTAGTTAAGGAGTTTTACTAATTTCATTTCAGGAACCAAAGCACTTGGGTCTTACACTAAAGGAACATTTGGTGTGATGGTATTTCTGTAAAGTGGGGAGTGGGGCACCTGGGTGGCTCAGTCGGTTGAGTGTCTCACTCCGGCTCAGGTCATGATCTTGTGGTTCATGAGTTTGAGCCCCACACTGGGCTCTCTACTGTCAGTACAGAGCCTCCTTCAGATCCTTTGTCTCCCTCTCTCTCTGCCCTTCCCCTGCTCACTCATTCTCTCCCTTTCTCTCTCTCTCTCTTTCTTTCTCTCTCTCTCTCTCTCTCTCAAAAATAAATAAACATGAAAAAATTTTTTAGTAAAATAAAATGGGGAAAAGTTAACAATGCCACTATTAGTCACTCCTGAGAAATAAAGGCAGTTAAGTGGCTGTAAGAAAATGTTGCAAAGGGAATTTCAGGAACACATACAGGAAAGGGAAACATGCCTGCTAATTTAATATAGGACATGGTAATGGATCAGTGAGGATTTTCATTTGTCTTGGGTACAGAAGAAGGATGGAAGGCCAAAGTTGTACAAAGGAATAAAGAACTCAGAAGACTCACTTCTAGACCCCTTAATTTCAAGTCCCAGAAACTAGCATGAAGATTGGAGATATGAGGGGAAGTCAAGTGTCTGTGAAAAGAACATTGTATTAGGACTCCTAGTAGCATTTTTCATTTTTAAGTATATATATGAAAATGATTAATGGGAAAGAATTTTTATCAGGTTTTCCTCTGTCAGAAAAGATTTATATGAGCTAAAATCAATAACTGTTTCTGCTGGGGCTAATTAGGAACAGTGAAACTTTATTCTCTCATTCACTTGTATCTGCCTTATTCATTTCCTGCCTCTTCAAACTTTTCTAGCAAATTTTTACACAGTTCCTGGCATGCTGGAACCTTTACTCTGTGGGAACAGTTCTGATGCTGGGTAAGTAGCTCACCTCATTTTGTTCTTGTCCCTTGAAATAATGTATCAGATGAAAATGGGCAATATTTTCACTTTTCTTTGTGCTCATAGAGTAGATCCTAACTAGGTCTGACGTATTGGTTGACTCAGATTTTCTTTCTGTTTCGTATTTGTCCATCCAAAATTGGCATTTCACTAGGAGGTGAATGTGCCTATAGTCTCAAGCCAAAATAAGAAATGTAAAAGGCTGAGAAGGATAGAGTGTGCAACACCAGATATCTTGCCTGTCTCTTATAGATTTCCCCTCATTGTCTTATGCCACAATTAAGAACATCTATAGAAGGGACACTGTCTCGGTGACAGATTAGTACCAAGGATGACCTAAAACATACTAGGCCTGACAGCGTGGGGAGGGAAAAGAGTAGCAACATAGTCTTTTTTTTGCCATTTTTAAAAAATTGTGGGAAAGTACACAGAACATAAAATTTACCCTCATAACCATTTTTACGTGTACAGTTCAGTGGCATTAAGTACCCGTTAACTACTAACGCCCCATTTTCCCTTCCCCTCCCATTCCGCTTTCTGCCCCTATTATTTCGACCACTCTGAGCCTCTCATGTCAGAGGAATCATGCAGCAGTTGTCTTTTTGTGACTGGCTTTTTTCGCTTGGCAGGATGTCCTCAAGGTTTACCCATGTTATTGCATGTGTCAGAATTTCTTTCCTTTTTCATGTTGAGTGATATTCCATTGTCTTTAAAAACCACATTTCATTTATCCATTCGTCTGTCGGCGGACACTCAGGTTGCTCCCATATTTTAGTTATTGTGAGTAATGCTACTGTGAACACAAGTTGCCACCAACATAATGCAAATCTTGATTCTGCTACTTTCAGCTCTAAGACTATTTGGCAAGCCATTTCACTTAGGTGAGCCTCAATTTCTTCATCCATAACACGGAATCAATAAGTCCTGTGCTCGCTTCCTTCAAGGGCTATTGCAATGATGCAATTAGATGACATACATGAAAGTGCTTTGGAAACAGAAAGTCACATAAATGTGAGGGTGTCACATCGTTATCCAGGGTGTATTGGCCCTCTAGGAATTGGTGTTTTAAGATGACCGTGACAACTAGATGTCCATTTAATTTCTGTATCTAAGTCAATACCAGAAGTTCCATTGAAATACATATCAGGTGAATCTAAAAGCAGGAGAACTGGTAAAAACGAGGTCACTGAGATTCCCAGTGTGACATAGGTTGTCTTGGTGAGTATTAAGAGAACAAAGGTGATGAAGAGGAACTTCTAGCTAGCCATTTGTCATTTGGGATCATAGCCAAGAGGAATTTGCTTGAATTGCACATTGGTATGAATCTGGGACAGTGGTTCTCAAATTTTGGTGTGCATACGAATCACCTGGCGTGCCTCTTTAAAATGCAGATCCGGGAGGGTGCCTGGGTGGCTCAGTCAGTTGAGCGTCGACTTTGGCTCAGGTCATGATCTCACGGTTTGTGAGTTTGAGCCCCGCATCGGGCTCTGTGTGGCCCAGTGCAAAGCCCGCTTCAGATCCTCGGATCCTCTGTCCCCCTCTCTCTGCCCCTTCTTGACTTGCACTGTCTCAAAAATAAATAAACATTTTTTTTTAATGCAGATTCGTGGCTCCCATATCTAGAGCTTTTATACCTAGGTCTGGGTAGGACATAGGAATCAGCATTTTCAAGAGGGAAACCTGGCGATTCTGATCCTAGGCTGTCCCCAAGACATCGTTTTTTGAAACGTTGACCTTTTCTTTTTTTAACACCTATATTTTGGCCTGACTTTCTAGATGGTTATTTGTTATCTCCATAGTCCTAGAGATGACTTACAGTTGATGACCGGGTAGAATGATGTTGAAAAGCCCTGAAATTCCTTTTCTTTTCTCAGACAATGCCCAGAGGGGTACCAGTGTATGAAAGCAGGAAGGAACCCCAACTACGGTTACACAAGTTTTGACACGTTCAGCTGGGCCTTCTTGGCATTATTTCGCCTTATGACCCAGGACTACTGGGAAAATTTGTATCAGCTGGTAAGTAGTACTACCTCTCTTCTGAGTGCTTTTTCTCTTTGGTGACAGGATTTGTATGAGGGTATGGGGTTGGGGACATTCTGTGTAAGAGACCTTCAGGGAAGGCATTGTACAGGATCTTAGGATATTATTTCTCGGAGTCAGCTGACTTACAAAATTAAGTGAATTCTCCCAGCTCTTGCCCCTGTTTCTTTAGTGCCCAGTCATGTAAAGCTTGTAGAGGCTCACAGCCTTGACAGCCTTTTGCCTGGCCTGGGAATCTGCTATCTCGGTTTACTTCCTGTTGTTTCACCAGACCATCTGCAGTGTTTCTCTGCTCAGATTTTTGGCTTAGGGTGTCTTTTTAAGGCATATCAATTAAACATACTCTACAAAGCACCATGCTAGACATTAGAAAGATGAGATTTCTATCCACGAAGACCTTGGATTCTAAACATAACATTTTTGAGATTTGTAACATATGTGGACATATGTTATACAGACAGGTTGTGACAGATTAAAAAAAAAAGGTCTGCCATTCTGTTGGGCTATATTGGTGACTAGGCAAGTCATTTAACTTTGCTGGTGGTGATGGAGAAGTAAGTCTAGGTGATTGCTAAGGGTCTTCCAGCTTGGAAATTCCGTGATAATTCATTGTTTTCTATTTGACTCTGGTGTTTGGTGATGCCAGTTCAAGAGTAAGAAATATGTCTCCTTCAGGCCTGAAGGAATGTCTCGAAGGGAAGCTTCTTTTTTCTTTTTAATTTTTTTAATGTTTATTTATTTTTGAGAGTGAGAGAGCCAGAGTGCAAGCAGAGGAGGGGCAGAGAGAGAGGGAGACACAGAATCTGAATCAGCTTCAGGCTGTGAGCCATCAACACAGAGCCCCACAGGGGACTCAAACCCACGAACCATGAGATCATGACCTGAGCGGAAGTTGGACACTTAACTGACTGAGCCACCCAGGCACCCCTTGAAGGGAACCTTCCAATTCAGATCCCGTAGGACAGCCTAGAGTTCTCTCAGGTTCAAATCTTTCTTGTGAAATATTTCTGGTTGATGCTAAGTTCTATTTACTATTTGTAGTTGAAAAGAATAACAATGGGGGCGTCTGGGTGGCTCAGTCAGTTAAGCGTCAGACTTCAGCTCAGGTCATGATCTCGCCGGTGAGAGTTCGAGCCCCACGTTGGGCTCTATGCTGACACCTCAGAGACTGGAGCCTACTTCGAATTCTGTGTCTCCCTCTCTCTGCCCCTCCCCCGCCTCTCAAAAATAAATAAACGTTTAAAAAAAATTTTTTTTAAATAATGATGAAAACTAAGTAAGAGTAAGTCGCATATACATAAACTAAAACCCAAGTGTTCTTTGATGTCCATTTGCTCACAGCTAGTGAAAGGACTAGTCCTAGGATCCTCTTTCCTACTGTTTTCTCCACTGTTATTTATGCCACATCTCTCTTTAAAAACCCACCCTATTGCAGAAGGAAAGGAAGGATGTCACTCAAGATGGGGACTTCCTATGACTTGGACCCCATCCCTAAGATGGAATTTATCTGTTAACGCTCTTTGAGGACCAGTAGATAAATGAGCTGAAGTCTTGTATTCATTTCTTTATACTTGTTTTAGAATCAGCTAACGAAGGCAAATATAATTCTTAGCTCGGAGCATTTTTCCCTTTAAAAACAATCAAGTATTTTTCCATGAAAGGAGTATATCAGGAGCACTCGGAAAGGGAAGCGGACTTTTTCTGTCACAAGGCATTGGAGGTACTAGCGACATTTACTCTGAATTGAGGCTGGAGGAAGCCATTTGGCCACTGGGGATGCTAAGTACTCTGCAGTATTGAAGGCACACCGCACAACAAAGGACTGTTCTGTCAAAACTGCAGTGGTGCCCCTGCAGACGAACATTATCCCATGAGGTAGTTTCAGCCTGGTTCATTTGATGCATAGGACTCAGAAAATGGTCTTCGTCTTCACAGACCCTGCGAGCTGCTGGGAAAACGTACATGATCTTCTTCGTCTTGGTCATCTTTGTGGGTTCTTTCTATCTGGTGAACTTGATCTTGGCTGTGGTGGCCATGGCTTATGAAGAACAGAATCAGGCAACCCTGGAGGAAGCAGAGCAAAAAGAGGCTGAATTCAAAGCAATGTTGGAGCAACTGAAAAAGCAACAGGAAGAGGCACAGGTTGGTGATCGGTGCTTTGCGATATACAGTCCTTCCTGCCAGATCACTGTGACTAAGGCCCTATCTCATTGCCATTGCAGTTGATCTTTTCGAAGCACGTTGTCAAATAGAAGCCATTGATCTGATTAACATAACCCAAGTGACAACCGCAGATGGCTGGCCCAATTATTCCATTTGTCTTAACGGCCAATAGTTTGTTAACATGATCTCTACTTGAATTTCTCAGCTGTTTAGTGTTCAACTGCTAGGGTGGGTGGGCGGGGGAAGCAAGTGGCCAGAGCAGTATATATAGTGCTTCCTATAAGCATAGCCTTTTTGTTGAGGCCATCAGTAGGATCTCCTTCATACATTCTCTGCGATCATGAAAATATTGGTTGTAATTGAAAAGAAGATACAGGTAAAAGAGTAAAATAAAATTTGAAAACCAGTCTAGTGATCCCACCACCCTAACGCTTTGCTTTCTGATTCTTGTCCAAACATACATGCGTTTTTACACCGTTGGGCCCATAATGTGTATAATTTGGTTTCTTAGCATTCATTTTCGGAGTTGTCCAGAAGAAATCTTTTGGTACCAAGAAGGCGGCCACGTTCTTGTCAGAGATACTTCAGAGAATAAATCCCTGAGTTCTTCCCCCTGGGTTCTGCTCTGATTACACAGTGTGTGCCACAGTGTGTGTGGCTGTGTGCCATAATACAGATCAACCAGAAAATGGAGATAGCCAAGTCCTGGCCGCAGTCTCCTCTCCGGGCTGGTTCGCCCTCCTCCTTTTTCCCTGCTTCCCCTATCCGTGGGAAAGGAAATGAACTGCCCTGATTGCTTGGCTCCTTGCAGCTCCAGTTAACTGCTTCTGACTGGCCTGTCACTGTGGCTTCCCCCTCCAGGCAGCAGCGATGGCCACCTCCGCCGGCACGGTCTCAGAAGATGCCATAGAGGAAGAAGGTGAAGAAGGGGTAGGCTCTCCTCGGAGTTCCTCTGAAGTATCCAAACTCAGCTCCAAGAGCGCCAAAGAAAGACGTAACAGGAGAAAGAAGAGGAAGCAGAAGGAGCTCTCTGAAGGAGAAGAAAAAGGGGATCCTGAAAAGGTCTTTAAGTCAGAGTCGGAAGACGGGATGAGGAGGAAGGGCTTTCGGCTGCCAGACAACAGAATAGGAAGGAAGTTTTCCATCATGAATCAGGTAAGCTATTTGCACTGGGTCAAATAAGCCTAAGAAATCCCCTTTTCCTAATCTCACTTGATTCTCACATTCCCCCCTTTTGCTCTACATTTTCCAGCCCCTTCCCTGCGTCCTCAGGCCTGTCTCTCCATGGTCCGTACTATCCTCTAGAGGGAGCATTGTGGGCGTGTTAGGGCTGTCCTCTGCTCCAGTCCTGCCCTCCCCTCTCTGCTCTGGGCCAGCCCTAGGACCCTGTGATCACCTCTGGCAGCCCTACTGCAGCCATAAAGTCCCTTTCACACCAGTAGGCCTTCCATTCTACCCCTCTCCTTAAATGTTGGAACATCAGAATTTAGCTTTCAAACATCTCTGTTTAAGAATTGCATGTAATTGTAGGTTAAAGAAAAAAAGAGTCCTGAAACTCTAGGTCACCTTATTTGAGTGTGGCAAATTCTAGTAATTAATTATTCTAGATATATGATGTCATGCTGATAAATTAGCCTATGGTAGGTTAAAAGCCTCCAGTTGTACCCAACTTTGATAAATGGGGAAACTAAGAGAAAGAGAGAGGAGAGGACTTACGGGTAATTACTGAGCATTCTATTACTATAAATATCACCATATAACACCTATTTTTGGATTTCAAAGAACACCACCAAAATCCAATCCTGAGGCCATTAAATTCCCAATTTTAAGGAAATGCTACAAAGTTAGTCCGGTATGAAATAGATGACAGTTACTGGTCTTCTGGCAGCGTACCCTGTGTCTTTGCTTGTTTCCGAGAGGTGACCATTGTGCCTCTCCCTAACACCTCTCCCCTCCCAGTTCAGCCTCTGCCAGTCCTGTTCACTTGATCACAGCAGAATCTCTCATGTCCATCCCCCGCTTCCCATCCTATTAACTGTATCTTAGTTCATGTGTATTAGTCCGTTCTACCTCAGTTATATCCACTGCGGGTTTGTTTCCTCTGATCATTCTCCCTCTCCTTTATGTTGTATATACTGTCAACAGAGCACTTCCTAAAACAGAGCTCTCATTATTCACCACCAAGCAGTTATGGAGTGCCTACCATGCATCAGGGATTATGCTGACTCCCAGAGATTCACGGTGATTAAAACACTGTCCCTCTCCTAAGGAACTTAACAGTGTAGTGGAGCGGCCACCAAAACTTATTTCTATAATACCATGGATGGTTCCATGTTTTTCCGTAATTGAAATAGGCTGGAATGTTTTAGAGGTCACGGGATCTACCGCAACCTGGAGGTTTGGCAAAGACTTTCTCGGGAAAGTAAATAAAGGATAAACAGGAGTTAGGTAGTGTGTGTGTGTGTGTGTGTGTGTGTGTGTGTGTGTGTGTGTGTGTGTTGATGAGGGAGTAGTAGGGCGGAAGAAAGGACATTCCAGGTGGGGAAGAAAAGTATGTTCCAGTTTGGACACCCTATAACCAAGTAGAGAGGTCTTTTAGACACACAGATAATCAAATGACGTCTTTGGGAAGAGGTCCTGAGCCGAGACCTGGTGACTGGAACCGTGAGACTTGATGAGGTGCTCAAAGAGGTTGTGTCAGGTGAAGGAACAGTGGGCTAGGGGCTCCACCTCTGATGTTCATGGGCATCGCAGATGGAGCTCATGAAGAAAAACAAATGAACAGTCATGAGAGGTGCTGAGAGGACCAGTTCAGTGAAACCAGGAGAGCACAAAGATTGGAGAAAGCAGGCGAGTGGTCAGTGGATTGAAAGTTAACAGAAATGCTTCATGAGATCAGAATTGGAAATAAGCACTGGATTTGGCAATGTAAGTCACTGAGCACTTTAAAGACACACTTCAGTCCAGGGTAAGGATGGATGCCATATTAAGTGAGAACTGGAGACGATGAGTGTAGACATCTCGTAAAAGCTTCTTGAAAGATATGGGTGGAAGGTAAGTATTTTTTATAATCTGCAGTGGGGGAGCCCCGAAGAAGGGGAAGTAGAGGTCGAAAACGGAGTCGAATAGAAAAGAAACTGGAGCACAGTCTTGGAAGACGTGAAACTAGATAGAGTCTCTAACAGGAAGGGGCTACCTTTTACCCAAAAATGTCAGGACATGCGGGTGTGGATAAGTTTGTAGATAGGGAGTAGGAAGTTGAAGAAGATGACACTGGAATGTCTGTAGTTTGCAGTAATGTAGGAAATTCAAAGTCCTATTGAAGGGAATGAGAGGTTGAGTTTAAAGTTTATTTATTTTCAAGAGAGAGTATGCACACAAACAGGGGAGGGGCAGAGAGAGGGGCACTCTCAGCACGGAACCCGACTTGGGGCACAAACCTATGAACCATGAGATCATGACCTGGACCCAGGAGATCATGACCTGAGCCGAGATCAAGAGTCAGATGCTTAACCAATTGAGCCACCCAGGCGCCCCAAGAGGTTGAGTTTAAAGAAATGAGAGGGGTGTTTAAAGAAAATATTGACAGTGTAGAATAGTTATTAACAAAGAATAGGAGAGGAAATTACCCTAAACAGATTCAGTCTATTTACCAACCAAGTGCCAGCCCCTAGTTGGAAATTATAGTGCTCCCCGCTCCTGGCCTTTTCAATCCCAGTCACTGTGCCCTGTCAGCCACCCTGCACTTAGGCCAGAATGAACTACTAGATGCTTCTCATCTACGAGGTTTGTTTCCTACCCTCAGATTTGCTCCAGGAACCCCCTCTCTAAGATGCCCTATTTTTCTTGCTCTCAGGGTCCACATCATACTTCCTCTTCACATCCTTCTCTCAAAAAACCTTCCCAGCCCTCCCCGACTCCACACCTCAGTGGGGATTACCATTTTATCTTTCCATTATGTTTCCTACGTATCTCTTTATGTGTTGCTTTTTACTCCTACTATTCTTTCCTCTCTTAGAGAAAGTGCTAAAGGCAAGGCATGCATATGGCTAGTGTTCAGATATTTGTTGGACAGATGAATGGGGGACTTTTATAAATCTGATTTCACCCCTTCTGGGACTTCTTTGTGGCCTAGAGCCATCTCGGTCTCACCTTCACCTCACCTTTCTCCTAGTTCTGCCTCTTTTGGGGAAAAGTATGATTGCAGCTTCATTGTAATCCAACCCTTGTCTTGAGAGCCATCACTGAGCTGGTTAATGAATACCTTAGTGCTGTTATTGAATGGTCTCTGATTAATCTATTGGCTTTAGCACCGAGTTGCACTGATTGCTCCCTAGCTCAAAAAATAAAACTGGGCTTCTGAAATGTCCTGCTTTGCATGAAAATGTTCACTTCCTCTAATTTCCCCATCTGAAAAAAAATTGTAGATTCCTAGAGGCCGTGGCTGCCTGCCAAGACTTGCTTAGAAACCCTACATGGAAGTAATAGTCTTTGTCCCAGGACTCTTCTGCAGTTCCTCTGATTTTATCTGGAAGAAAGACTAAAACTGAGGCCTAGAGTCGTTAACTTATCTAAGGTTATATGGCTAGTAGGTGTTTCAGTCAAGATTTGAACCAGGTCCTTTGGACCACAGAGCTTGTATTCCTGTACATGACCGTGTGCAGCCACTCCCTCCCCACTCACCTCCACACATCCATGGTCATCTCTTCTGTTGGCTCACCAGTGAACATGGCTTCCGTTCAGTTTCCTGTGTCACCAGATCTGTAGAGAGCCCTTAAGGCATCTGCCCACCCAATCTCCTACTCATTTCTCTATAAAATTACTGCTCTGGTTTTAGGGCTTAGGACAGTTTATAAATATTAAGTTGAGTTCAATTTTGCACGGTGTTTTAATTTTTCTATTACAGTATTCCTCAAGCTTTTTGGTCTTAAGACCCCTTGATATTCTTTTTTTT